CCCTCCCGCGCACACCGCCGCGCCCTCCTACTCGCCGGGGCTTCAGCTTACATGCCTTGCCTTCCGGCGGCCGGGTATAGGCACGGAGCTTTAGCGCCATCCATTTTCAGGGCTAGTTCGATGTTTAGTGCATGGTTTTAATGCTTTAAAATGGCTGCTAACGTATACGATACGTATCGTAAAAGATCAGAAATGCAAGATACACATAACGAACAAAAACGTATAACGAACAACGTCTTGGAACAGAACTCGTTCGTAAACCGAGAGTTGCCTGTACTTACCAGTTATTCTTAGAGAACACACACAAAGCTTGAAATGGAGTGTTTTAGTTTTTAGTTTTCTCGAAAATGAATGTTGTGGACTCATGTAGTTTATTTAATAACCTACTCTATCCCTATTATTCTTTCAGTCCAAGCCACAGATATAATTACAAAGTAAAGTTTATATCACTCCCCAGAATTATGATTGATGACAGGTCTACAATGAGAGATTCAGCATCCAGAGTTAATTATTATTTCGAGAAATGAATCTCGTACCGCATGAATTGAAATATCGATCATCGAATACAATTTGTAATGATGAAAAGCCGTAACTATTATTATTCTGAGGCTTTCGTTGCATCGTCTACGCCGTATTTTGTAGCAAAATGCAAAAGCACTTTCGAAGATTCAAAGGAACCTGGAGTTTCCTTATCCATGACCGAAACTTCGATTCAAAAGACAGGTAAAAAAAGCTAGTTTAAAATGTTGACATACACTTAACATGACGTTTTCAGACAACCATATTCATTTCTCGCTCCACCCCCTTTTCCTTTATCGAACGTTCCTCCTACGAAGGCCCACGAAGTGTTATGAAGTTTAACAAAAATGTTTATCTCTTATAAGTTACATTTATAAACTGGGGCGATAAACAACAGCGTGAATAACAAACTACTGAAATCTTATCAGGTATTTACTTACCCTTCTACTCAGTCTATTGCTCCATTTTGACTTATATAAGCGTCACTGGCACAACAAATGATGTAGATGGAAGAGAATCTGCAGGCATCTGGTTCAAGTCTCAAATCTGGCCGAAAGAATGAAGTCTTTGGTTTGCGTGTGGCTTCTGGTCTTAGTGGTGGTCGTCCACAGTCAGAAAGACCCCAATGTGTGGGCTAACAGAAGCGCCATCGTTCATCTTTTCGAATGGAAATTTAACGACATCGCCGATGAATGTGAGAGATTCCTTGCTCCGAATGGTTACGCTGGTGTTCAGGTATGTTCTCACAGACAGTACAGCGTTACTGTTTTTCTCTTCAGACATCCGCACCATGACTAACTAACTCCCTGGTAACAGAACCCGCAGGTTCTACGCCGACAACACCAAAGCCCGCAACCGGCCACGATCCCGAGCCAACTCCATCCATTTGCCACACTCACAGCCCACCTTCCTGAAATCCATCTTGATGTTATCCTCCCATCTCCTTCTTGGTCTGCCCAGTGTCGTTTTCCAGAAGGATGCCCTACAAAAACTGTGTATGCACCCCTTGCCGCCCCCCCTCATACGTGCTACATGTCCAGCCCATCGGAGCCTCCTAGATTTCACTATCCTCACTATGATAGATGACCCGTACAATTCACTCAGCTCCTAGTTATGCAATATTCTGAATTCCCCACTTTTTTCAACCTTTCTAGGTCCAAATATCTTCCTGAGCACTTTGTTTTTAAAATAATCTACGTTTTTCCCTCAAGATAAGAGACCATGTTTCACAACCATACAAGACAACTGGCAAAATTATTGTTGTATATATCTTGATCTTTAGTGTTTCGGTTAGCAAACATGATGATAACAGTTTTTAAATTTAATAAAGACAAGCGGTGCCCGAATGTATTCTCCTCTTAATTTCATCACGGACCTCTTTTCAATTTGTTATTGTTGTCCTCAAATACTTAAATTGTGAAAAATTTTCAAATGATGTGTAACTTCTAATAATTATGTTCCGCCGTTGTTTCTGATGTAGATCTCGTATTACGCCAATGATTTAGTTCTGTCTACATTTACTTCTCAGCCTGTTTCCTTGCTAGCATCTAGGAGAGTTTTTGCATTCTTGTTTCTGGTACCCACACCATCCCCCAGCAAATTGACGTCATCAGCATAGGCAAGTACCTGGTGCACGCCATTCAATTCGAAGCCTTCCTGATTCCCTCTGAATTTCCTGATGACATGTTCTAGAGCAAAATTAAAAAGCACTGGGGACAAAGCATCCACCTGTTTTAGGCCATTGTGCACTTGGAAAGGATCTGACAGAAGGTTGCCTATACGAACTGATAGATACCCCGTCCATACACCTGTTAATTAACGTAACAAGTTTATTTGGTATTGCAAACTCAAAATGCTACACAGTCATCTCTTCTGACTGAGTTATATGCCTTTCTGAAGTCTACAAATAGTTGGTGTACTGATCCATTACACTCCCAGTTTTTCTATAATATTTGTCAAATGCAAAAGATCTGATCTGTAGTTGACATATTACGGCGGAATCCACATTGATTGTCCTCAATTCTTTCATTCATAAATGGCGTTAACCGTGCCAGAAGAATATTCGATAAAACGTTGTTTGACGTTTGACAAAAGAGAGATATCTCAGAATTTACTGCACTCAGTTCTGTCCCCTGTTTTATGGATAGGGACAATAAGTGATCCTTTCCACTGTTGTGGTAGTACTTCCTGGTTCCAAATTGAGACTATAAGCTTGTGTGTATCTGAGTTCAGTGTCCTGAAATTAATTCCGCTGCAATTGAGTTGATGTCTGGAGATTTATAAGGTTTCAATTTACCAATGGCAATTTCAATATCATTAAGGCTCATTTCCCGGATGAAGGGCTCATTAAATTGATCAGCTACGTGAACGTTTAGTAACTCACTAAAGTAATCTTTTCACCTGCATATGATGCCACGTGGATCCGCGAGCAGTTCTCGTCCTTGATCAAATGTGTCCTTGGTCTGTACCCCTTCTTGAATTAAATTGTCTCTCTATGCAACTCTGATGTCTTATTTTTCCTGTTAGTTTCCAACTCCCTTGTCTGATCTTCGAGGTACTCCCTCTTCTCATGCCTCCAAGTTCTGCTGGTTTCGCGCCTTACACTGACATGTCTTTCCCTGTTTATTCGAGTGCGGTCCTGCAGCCATTGCAATCTGTCTGACCAAGATAGAGCATTATTTATCAAACCATGTTCTATTTCGCGAAATTTTATGATAGCCTACAATGTCCTCAGCTGAAATTTTCATGTTATCAAGTATATTTTCCCAGGCCTTATTGACGTCTACTTCCCTGTCCTCTGTATTCTCTTCAACGTTTTCTAGGACTGCAAACTTATTCGAAATGTTTACCTGATACTATTGCTTAGTTTCTGCATCGCTCAGTCTTTTGACGTTGAATTTCTCAATATTGTATATCTGCCTTCCTGTTTTCTGACCGAGAGTCTCGCCCTCAATTTGGCTGTCACTAAATAAAAATTATACTATGATCTGGAACATGTCCATGTTTCAAATTCTTTATTTACGACGTTGCATTTTCTACTATCATCAATATTTATTAATTTATTGGTTTTTGGAAATCTTGTAAGGAAAATGTTAAGATATGTGTAACATCACTAGCAAAGTTATATGTAGGGTATCCGTGAAGTAGGTCGAAATTCTACTCTTTATTTTTTGTTCACTTGTTATATCCTAGGTCTATCAAACATCCTCAGTAAATATTTTTCGGTTAGAGTGAGATGACAAGAAAATTTATAATTTTTCAAACTTAATTTGTAATTGTATGCAGGACACGGGAAGACAAAGGTTTCTGAACTGAACTGTAGCAAGTACTTAGAGATCTATTTTTATATTATAATTTTGTCAAATATAGATACATATTTAGTTATATCAGCGTGTATGAATCACTGATGTACTGTTTAATTAAATTTATGATCATTGGTTGAATTATTACTTCGAAATATTTTTTATTCCTCCGAAGTGAGTGGTCTAGCTGTCCACTTTTTCGCCAGGTTGGAGCATTTTCAGCTGGAAAATTGTTGGACAAAATGTTGTATGCGTGGTTTCTGGGCAAGGCGGGCAAAGTCGTAACATAACAGCGTAACCCAAAGAATTCCGCTAGCGTTATGAGGTTCAGGTGTGGACGAGATGGTGCGCAGTTAGGGCGAACGAGCTGTGCGCTTGTGATCCGACTGTTCGCTGTATCTGCACGTCCACATCTGCTTCGGTGGAGTAATGTGACATCCTTCTACGATCACTGATAAGTGGACGTTGCGAGCCGTAAAGGAATGACTGCGCGTTGGCTGCTACGTTACGGTAGAACACGCAGGTGTGAACCTGGCTAAAGTGCACTATGGCTGTTATCAGCAGTTTACTGCTGTTTGAGCAGAAGTGCATGTTTATTGTCATTGTCGACAACAAAAGATGTCATAACGAGCTGTATATTATTATTCTATTGAAAGTCCTATCTCTGAACCGATTTTTATGCACCTTAGCTAGATGGACCGAAACGATACTCAACAAAGGTTTAAAGTGTATGCAGCCTACTGAATTGAAGGCTGAGTTATGTAATAAGAACTAACTGAACTTCTTACCAAAGCAGTTCTGTGATCCAGTGTTGATTTCTGGATTCACTGCAGCAGGGGACAGGAGTTTGCATGTTGATTTTACAGTCATCTTTTCCTTATCATTGGGAAATACAAACAAATCACGGAAAGAAATCTTGTGTTACGAATAACCCTGAGGAAGCAAGGTGGTGACTTTCTGAAGGACAAAGCAAACGTTAAGTTTCCAGATCTCTAGACACTGGTGGAGGGATCCATCCGAGATTATGCTGAAACGGAGAGCCTTCACGAAGCATTTGTTCTGTTTGTCTCAGTCTAAACCAAAAATGCATGCACGGAAATAAGATAGCTAATTGCTAATGCGTGCTCTTTGACAACATGTTGAATATACTTTGCCACTAGGACTTCTAAGAGTACGCATACTTACTTCCATTAACATTGTTTATTTTCATGTGAATTTAACTCACATTTTCATGTAATATTATCAACCTATAAAATGTAAGAATGCAGTCATTGTAGTCTAAATCACTCCCGTTATTGATTCAAATGTAATGATGACAAGCAGAAATGTGTTGGGTTCAAACTCTTACTGGAATTTCCCATATTGTGTTATGGCCTTCCACAATTACCACATATCGTACAGGCTTAATTTTATCAACTTTTTATAAACAGGTACAAGATGTATTACTTTTAGTGTTAGTACAATTCGTATTATTCCATACAGAGTAAGCAGTGGTGACATCAGAACTTGATTTTTGCCCCATGGGTGGAACGAAGTGTAAAAGGAATGTGGCTGATACCTGGCAGTTTGTCTTTTAAAATTCTCAATAGCGAATTCAACTTAAAAGAAGTCTGATTCCAATTACCAGCTTTTACCAAGCATAGTTTGGTATCCCTTCATACATTTATTTTTGCAATTTCGAAATCTCTGATATTCTTGTTCTTTTTGTGTGTTTCAAGCCCATTAATTTTGTCTCTCATACATTGCTTTTTTAATCCCGAAAGTTTCACTGATTCACAATATTCATAATATCTGCATCCATTTGGTTTTAATTTTTCAATCACTGCAGTCTGACCTCCTTCTTTTGGTCTAATACATTTAAGCTCTCCTCTTCAAATGATGATTTGCTGCTCTAACTTCTAATAGCGTAGACTCTCTTTGACTGGAAGTGTTCATGTTTTATCTGATCCTTTCCGAGTTTCTACTGATATTCACAAATTCTTCATAATTGTCCAATGTTGCAAACTTATCTCAGCATATTGCAAAATTAATTTAAGAAATACACATTTTTTCTTACATGTTCTTGTGTAACGTACAATAAACTCCTTTTCCCATGATGTCCCTACTTTATTATACTTAAATGGATATGCTATTCCATTTTATCAGCTAATTTTAAAACCAGTTCTTGCAGTGATTTCTTATGAAACCATAAAATATGCTATCCAAATCTTTGGCGTTCTGAGCCAGCTCTTTCCATTTGTCGTTCAAAAATACATCTGGCCTATCCCCGATGTTCCTTATGTCGGTATTTTAGGGTATGTCTGTGTAATGTACTCAGCGGGATACCGAACTTTTGTGAAGTGGCTGAAAATGAAAATACTCTACTCTCTTTAACCCTTTGAAGCCGAAGCTCGTCTAAATATTATTTAATAAATCAGTCCGTACCGCGAAGAAAACACAACACTTTACCATTACAAATGACAACTGGTTGACGCTGTTTAAGGAAATAATCGCTGTTTACACTACTAAACCCATGCATACAAAACTCAGAGTTATTAACTGTGTGAAGCAGGTGGTACATATAGTTACCACTGGGTCTTAAAGGGTTAATGTCTCTCTTAATATTTTGCTATGTCTAAGGACCTTGCGTAGTTTTCCTTTTGTAATGACTGACCGTCTGTAAAATTTAAAGAACAGATCTATGTAACAATAAGATTGACGAATGCATTTCTGTTGAATACATAAAATTTTATCCTCAAATAATGGGCTGAAATAATGTTTAAAAAATTATTTTAATGATTCTCTTTGCTTTCAACATTTCACGTACATTAGAAATAATTATGCTTGTAGGTACCGAGTTTCTGACAGCATTAATGCATAAGTGCATGAACACGGGCATAAGGGAGGATAGTTTTTTCTAAAAATAATAGTTGAAAATTCTAAACGCAAAATTTTAAAATTATTATTGTATACAAATTTTTATGGGAAAACATTCTAAGAAATAATCTCCACACTCGTTCCAATGGAGACAGAGTAGAAAATCATTCCGCTTTGCCATTCCACTTTACTTTCACGGGCTATATCTAAAACGCGATTATTCCGCCTGAAAACGAAGTTGCAGTTTTGTGGTAGTTAAACTCTTTAAAAACTATAGTCTAAGCAGCATTTATGGCTTAACAATCACAAGACAAGTGCTAAACAAAGTGCTTACAACTGAAAACAAAAACACTTCTAATTATTTTTCAATTTTCTCAAAAGAATTCTCTGGTTTCTTCGTTCTCCAACACACGCTGCCTGCCTTTATTGCACTATACCGACAGGCTAGACAACTAAATAAAAATGAATAGTACGCGCTTCCTTTAATCACCAGTACCAAAAAGTACCACCTTTTCGCTTTGTCTAACCCTTCGACTTTGCTGTCCTTTCGCCTAGGTGTGGCTTCCTTAGAAGCAGTAAAAGTTCCGCCTTTTTCTTTGGATTTCTGTTGCTAGAAGAACTGATGTCCTTATGATGTTGGTAGTCGTGAGAATAATTGTTACTTAATGATCCTGTATCCCAAACGTCGAGAGGCTCTAGCGTAGAATTTTCTGTGGTTTCAGCCATTTATTTCAGAATCTTTCTTCTCCCTCGCCTGAAATCTAAAAATACGAAATATAAAATATAGCAAAGCTAATTTTACCATCTATCTTGTAGTCGTATGAAACTTTATCTCTCACACTGAGAGAACACATATTGAGGGTATTTGAGAACAGGGTGCTGAGGTGAGCGTTTGGATTTAAAGGGATGGAGTGACAGGAGAAAAAAACATCGTAATGAGGAGCTCCATGATATTTACTCTTCACCAAATCTTATTAGGAAGATCATATAAAGGAGGGTGAGATGAATGTGGCAAGTAGCACGCACAAGGAAGAGAAAAGTGCGTTCTAAATTTTGATGTGTAAGCTTCAAGGCAAGAGAGAACTCGGAATACCTAGATATAGATGGGAGGATAATATTAAAATGGATATTATGGAAATAGAGAGTGCTGTGCAATATTGTGAAACGGTTAGCACGGAGATGTGTGTTTTGTTCATGTTTCCAGGTATCTCCTGTCCAGGAGAACGTTATAGTGAGTTCGCCTAACCGACCCTGGTGGGAGAGGTACCAACCCATTTCTTATAAAATTGTGACCCGTTCGGGAGATGAAGCGGCTTTCAGGTCCATGGTTCGTCGCTGCAATGACGTTGGTGTCAGGTGAGTCAACATGAAACCTCTTAATTTCCACGGCTTAACGAGTTTTGTAGTTGAAATACTAGGACATATTAATAAAACCCGATGATTTGCGTATTTGAGTCATTGTTTTGCAAATATACAATGATGGATATATCGACAAGCTCTGTGTCGTAGTCAGATTTGGAATCTTATGCATAAAGTACTACAAACGTATGTTAATACTTTCAATGAATTTTGTGTTATATTTACAAATTTCTTGTGTTTTCCTCAGTTTCTCCTGAAGAATACTTTAAAACAGGTCACAATTTACATCTTTAAATCTCTTCAGGCATCAGTTTGTTGCCAGAGTGATCTAAAATCCAAACGAGTTGAATGTTGTCAGGCTTATTACAGGATTTTCGTAAAAGACGACTGTCATGACTGTCTCCTTCTATAGATTCATAATTTATTGTCTCTTTTGATTATTTTCCCATCTCGTTTGAATTTATCCAAATTATACCCTCTGCAGTTTAAAAGGCATTTTTAAACAACCAACCAACTAAATCACATAAATTCAACTCAACAGAATTAATATGAAAGTATGGAGAAAGAATTCTTACTATAGGCAACGTTATTAACAATGAACATGATTTGGCAAACAAGAAGATGAACATTGCTATTAAAATATAAGACCGGGATGTAATGAGATTTCGTAGGATAATTTGTGATGATAGAGAAACAACAGATGTGGGAGGAGGTGTACGTGGCCTACGGAATTTTCCTGACATTCGTCTGAAAAGGCTGAGGAAACCCTCGAGAAGACCTCAGTTAGGGTAAACAGTCTCTGGTCGGGATTCCAACTAGGTGTCATCAAAGAACGAATCAGACGTGTTCTAATGCTCGAACCCGCTCGGTTTCAAGTAGTCAGTATTAAGAGTTTCATCAATTGAAATATGCTCTTGGTTGTTAATTCGCAGAATATACGTAGATATTGTTATCAATCATATGACCGGCGATCATGCCACTGCTGTTGGTGTGGGCGGATCAACTGCCGATACTTACAATCTGCAGTATCCGGCTGTGCCCTTCGGACCCAACGACTTCAACCAACCTCAGTGTGGCATCGACAATTACGAGGACCCAAATAATGTATGTAATGAAGGGAAGCTTCTAAATTTACTAAAACGGCCAAGACGAAAGATGGCATTCGAGTTTTTGACGCTTCTGCGCAAGCAGTCATACGCCCTCTTGAGCCAATCAGAAGGTATATAAAGTATTCAGTTTTTTAGGCGCGAAGCAGACGCCATTTTCAAATAGGCTTATAATCGCGCCACCTGCGTTCGTGTTGATCTTTTTATACGCTTCTTATCGCCTGTTTACATTATGCATGTGCGTATCAGAACTGCAGTGTACATGATAGTCCTGCCTGCGTCTCTGTATAAATGTTTCACACGAAGTCCCCGTTTGTACTCTTCACCAAAATTTGGTATATATACTGTCCTCATTTGCATTTGTCCACAAGAATCCCCGATTTATTTAAAGGTTTTCATACTTAAGTGACTTGAGTCTTCAACGGCTGCCCTCGTTTATTCTTTCATGAGTCCTCGTACTGTCAACATGGCAAAAACTATCAGCATTTTGAAGGAACTTCATACCTCACCTAAGGGACTTCAAGGCAGCTGGCTCCTACTAAATATAGGAAGGTTTTTTTTAACATTTTGACATGATGGTATTCTCTCGGGACTCGACACTCAGGCCTGCGCCGATCATATCTGCCCCCCGGGTGCAAGAACATTCTGCCGCCTTTATGTATATGTGCTACAGTTTTCTATTTTTAAATTACCAAGTTTTATTAATTTTAGAAGGATTTGAAAATCCAGGGGTTTGCAACTACCTTCGATTCCCGGCGGTGCCCGAATTTATAACTTGTGTTGGGCAAGGCCGTGGTCTAGGCAACACGGAGTTTTCCTCCGGGGGCTTCCCCGGTTTCTCCGTTACATCCCAACAATTACTCCATTCACACACAGAAGAAGGCAATGGCAAACCACTTCTGGATCATCTGCCAAGAACGTATATGAACAGGTCCCAGTCCGAGAAAAGGATGGAAGGATCCTGTTCATATGGACCTGTAGTCAGACAGAACACTAAATAAATAAATAATAAATTCCGTATGCTGACAATGTAAATCGTCATTATGAGTTAATTGTTCACATATTTTTCACAAAGTATCTTTATCATTATAAGGGAAAAGTTTATATTAAGTATCATGTTACGTAAGTAATAATAATTGAAATTTTAAGGGAAAGGAGGGAATTAAACAAAAAAAAATGACAATTTCTTTTAAGAATTTTACTTTGCGAAATTTCATAATTGCAAATTCATTCACAATATCATCAAAAGCAAGTTCATCACAAATTTCATTCTCTACGCTGTTGAGAGCCAGGCTGTTTAACCTGTCTTGGATCATCGATGAACGCAAGTGGTTCTTTATCGATTTGAGTTTCGAGAATGATCTTTCTCGAGCAGCAACCGTTACCGGAAGTGTCAATAAAATGCTCAAAGCTATGTAAAAATTCGGGAAAACTCCTATAAAATCCCTCTGACACCGCCCCTGATTTTCGGCAGTCCAATGCAATGCCTCAAAATTCTGTGCCCCCTTAGGAAGTTGCACCCGTTGCACCCAAAGGGGGCGCGGTTCTATTTCTATTCTAGCTCATAAGAATAATGTATGTTATTTTAGCCTTAGCCAGAAATAACAAACTTCATTTTGATATCATTTATTTTCAGTGCCCACAGGAATACTAATTACGTGTTCGTGGTGCAGTGACTTTGTCTTTATGTGAGAACATGCATTGGTCCTGTCATTTAGCTCTGAACCATTGAGGGTTATTGATCGCTTAAAACTTGAAACTTAACAGATTAAAATATCATTTTACCATATTGCATTTTGCCCCATACGTTTATTTGAATAAAAGCACGGTTTTCTGAGATTTGTTTCACTTCATGCTAATGTACTCATAATATAGAGTTTCCTCGACAGCTAATGTAAAAATACTGTTTCAGGTTCGAAATTGCGAACTTGTAGGTCTTCACGATTTGAACCAAGGAAGTGGCTATGTACGAGAAAAGATTATTGGTTTTCTTAATCTTCTGGTGGATTGTGGAGTGGCAGGATTTAGGTAAGATAACCAGTGTATCTTGTAACTGCCTC